CCACCACCACCCCTTCTGCTGTTCCTGCCATCATATTTAATTGTGTTTGCTCAACTCGAAGCCAAACTCATATGCAGTATATTTAGATGGTTAAAATAGCATAGCATGGTACTATATTCACAGGTTATTCTCAGCACCACAATTCTTGGGAATTATTCTGGAATAAATAAGGTAAAGAGAAAAGAAGCAACATAAATTTGTTCCAGTGACAAAGAAAACAATATCAAAATGGCAATCTGGAGATCCGCCATGAATGAAGGAATAGAGTGTTCCTTTTGGTGAACTCGCCTGCAAATGCAATCACTGCCTTGTTTGGTATTCTGGATTTATTTTAATGTGGGTGAGAAAGAAAGAAAGAAACGAATAGTAAGAAACCGTGAAAAGTACCATTATTATTTTAAAAGATCAATGTACAATCACTGTACTTACTCTTATATAGCATTAAAGGTAAAGGTGTAGAACTGATATATAGGTTGATTTTCTGAACCTCTAAGGAGTCTTTATTTTTCACAATGGCAACTCTCTAAGTTAAAAGGCATATATTATTTTATATATATTCAAGATCTCCTTTCTGAGGTCCCAGCTGTTACATATTTCTTCAAATACCTTGAAAATCACTTCTAACTAATTTACAAAGGCTTGGTAGGGTACTTATGCCTACTGATACCATCTTAAGCTTTTCAACTTGCATTTTTGCTATCATTTAATAAATATGAATACTATCACTCAAATAAAATGCCCTGATGGTACAACAGTTAAACATTTCTTCAGCTGCTAATTGAAAGGCTTGAGGTCCAAACTCTCCCTGTGGCACCATGGGAGAAAAATCTGGTGATCTGCTTCCTCAAAGATTACTCCAAGAAAATCCTATGGGGCAGTTCTATTCTGTCACATGGGGTTGCCATTAGTTGGAATCAATTTGACAGCATGCCACACCACCACTCCATTAAAAGAATAGACTTTTTTGCTGAAGATGCTATTAATGAATTGGATCAACTGATTAAACATAAACATCAGCTTTTTGTGTTTTTAATCTAAGTCAAACTTCTAATAAAAATAGTAATAATAATAACAGGCACTTTAAACATACAGTACTTCATTAACCTTATCTTCACAAAAATTTGGAAAAAATGATGAAAATACGCATGAAGATAATTTTTACTTGAGATTTCCCAAAGTATGCTTCTTATACCTACATGACAATTAATGGATTGACACAGCAGCTGCAATGATGAGCTAAAGCACAGCAAGGATTGTGAGCACGGCATAGGACTGGCATTTGCATTCTTTGTTTACAGAGTAGCTGTGAGTTGAAAACAACTCGAGGACATCTTACAACAACAGTTCTGTGCTTATCTGTCACAGATAACTTTTTCTTTGCATTCTGATTCCTCATTTGTTCATTCAGTAGATATTACTCTGAACCCAGTATGAGACCAAGAACAAGTCTAGGTACTAAAGACACAGTTGAAATAAGATAGGAAAGGTCTTGCTCTCATGGAGTTTATTTTGTACTAGGAAGGACAGGAGAAAAGGATAATAAACAAACAGAAACTAATATTTCAGTTAGTGATAATTCAGAAAACCTAGCAGAATGGAATGCTATGATGGCTTGGAAGGTCCTTTTACATTAAGGAAAGGCCTCTCTGAGGAGGTAAAATCTGGCTCAAACAGAAAAATGCCACTGACTATGTGACTTAGCTGAGGGTACTGTAAGTGCAAAGACCTAAAGTGGAAAAGAGCTTGGAAAACCCAAAGAACAGGAAGAAGATAATGAACTTGGATCATTATGAATGGGAGGGAGGTATTTTGAGATGAGGCCAGATAGTGGGCAGAGGACACATTCCTGCCAAGGGCTTTGGCTGCCAATCAATTTTTTGTTTTGCCTTTGGAGTCATCATAGAACCAACTCAAAGGACAAGTGGTAGTAATGTCTCAGATACAGATATCCTTGGTACCATATATCTCCTCTTTCATGTGTCTGAATTGTCTCTCAACTCTTAATCTCTTAAATCTTCAACTCCCAAATGCTCATCTGGCCTTTTGACTTTCCTCCTTGTTCAATTTCCCACAGTTTGTGTCTTGCAGCCCCCTCAGCTGACTGGTTTCTGAACTGATATTTGTTCTACCCTCAGTATTGATATAGGCCTAGAATCCATATAACTTTGGTGGTCTGACTGCACAGTTACCTCCAGTTCTCTGCTAGTTCTTAATGGCCTTTTCTGTTGCCTTACCTGGCAGACACTAACACTGCTGCTATGTGCTAGTGTTACTACTTTTCTAAATACGTACTGGGTTTTCAATGTTCAAAAATACTTCCATGCCCTTTAACCTTCTTGATTGTCCCAACAATCCCATCAAGTAGATATGTATTTATCATTATTTCATTTTAAAGACAAAGAAATCCAAAGTCAAAAAAATTTCAGTAACTTTTGTAAGATAAGCACACAACAGGACTTCCCTGAGAGCCCAGGAATCTTGGTTGCCTGTCTCCATCCTTTTTCAGGAGTGACGCAGATCTGGTACACTCCGGGCATTTGCTGTCTTGGAGGAATAAGTCCACAGATAGTCTGCTTATTATATTGAAGCTTAAGACCAGGCACAAGGGAATTTAGGACATGAATAGAATGAATTTCCTTCTCTTGAACTTTTTCCATACCTGTGTATTTAAGTTCACTTTCTTTCTGAGAGTATGTCTTTGACAACATTCTCAGCCCCATACACACTTTAGACCACAGTGTAGAGAAAGATTAGCACAGTTACCAATGAAAGGAGCAAAAAGAGACAAGTGGTTTGTTTAATTAGTGAGTTTTCCTGACATGTTTCATCGAGCTGCTCTGGGTTCTCTCCTGTGGTTAAGGGTCTGCCTACCCCTAAAGAATATAGTTATGTAAAAGAAATCACTTTGCAGGTATAGAATTGGCATATATAACTCTCAATCTAGAAGCTTGATGTTCTGCGGTCTCACTTTCAAATATGTATCTTTCACATAACCATGTTGTCAAAAATTCAGTGAACTAAAATAAAATCAGCATTCTCAGATAAGTCCAAACAAAAGTCTCTTAGAGTAAATAATGGAAACAATTTCCTTACCAGTTCAATATTAATCACATCTCGTAAACAACATTCTTAAAATAAAAGGGAAAGTGCTAGAAGAGATTAAAAACTCTCAGGTGTCTTTCATCCTTCTGAGGTAGATCAATTATGTTCATTGTAGTTTGTGGTGTGTGGTAGTTTAGAGTAGAATGCTTTTCATACTATTTTAAAAATCTAAGGTTCTTATTAAGATGAGATTCTAGCTGTTTCTATTAAAAATTCATGACCCTTTTCCAAGAGAACTGTTTTAACCTGTTATTTCTGGCTAAATTTGTGGGAGTTCTTTCTTCCCACTAATTATTACACACAGCCTCTCAGGGAAAGAGACTTTAATAGCTAGTGATCCAGTGAAGTTTATCTAAAGTTGTTAAACAAAAATAACAATATGCATTTTTGCTTAAAACAAAAATTCCATTAAGAGTAAATATTACACAGAGCAAATTCAGTAAGTTTTGAAGGATGACCCAACATTTTTCTTTCTTGCCCTAGAGTACCATTTAGTGGCTTGGAAGAAACAATCATAATTGAAAAAATACTACAAAATATCACAATACAGTTAATCTACATAAACTCAAAACTTTCCAAATAGCAGAAAAATAACTTATCTTTGTTAGTTTATTTCCAGACAGATACTCAACATTATATAAAACCCTGTAACTGTAGGTTCAACAGTGGGCCTGGCTTCTCCTCCACCACACCCACCTCCCACTTCTCCAAGCAACTTGGGAGAGGATAGGAGCATCTCTGGGGGGCTTGCTCGTGAACACAGTACCTTGTAGACATCTGCCTGCCAAATGGTAAGCTTGCCGGGGGAAGGCTTTGCCCTTGGTGTGGAAACTTCTAGATTTGTTCAATTCTGCCTATAATGAGTGCCTGAGCTTAATTCAGGGGTGAAATATTAAGAAGCCCATTATGATGATTCATCTAAGCCACAGCTTTTATTGGCAATAAGCTGCGCTCCTTTTTTTTTTTTTTTCCCAACATCCATTGAGGAAATACTACAATCTCTCTCTTTCTTATATTTTCTTATATGCACCCTGATTTCTCAAAGATGGTTTGACAATTCTACTATGTCACTGTTATTATTGTCTTTCCAGAGAAATGATGCCCAATATTTTTGCAAAAAGATATAAAACAACATTCTACATCACAAAGATGGTATAGAAGATTGTTCTCATATTCGACTATAAGCAAACACATGATACTGGAACAATAAAAAAAAAAGCCACATATGTATATATTTGATATGGAAAATCCAATTTTTAAAATGTAAACCTTACAGTTTTTCCACTGAAAACTTTAAAAGATATTTTTAAAATGTTAATTGATCCAATATATAAAAAAAAATGTTTATACTTTTGTGTAAAACAAATTACTTGTGTGGGTTTGTAGGCTGAAATTAGATTATAATTTTATTGGGTTGCCCTGTTGTGCCAAAATAACTGGCTGAAAAGTGAAAAATTCAATCATGACAGTTTTACTTATATGTTTCCCCTGACTAGACTAGTTGATTTGGCTTGGCATTTTGTATGCATTCATTAAATTGTTTGTAAACAAAGGTATAATATTGTAATGACATTCAAGTCCATAACTTTTGGTGTTTACTACATTGAAATACTATATATGCAAAGTCAAATATATTTGAAATTCAGACTAAAATCAATTGAATTCATTTCAGAAAAGAATTTAACTGTCATTTGTAAACACTTACCATGGAAAAACAACATTTAGGAAGTATATTTCATACACCTACAGCTGTTATTTTTAGAAGGGAGACCAGAGAGGGAGAAAATAAAAGAGACCCTCTGCTAGTGTAATGTTTTCACTTTTCCCCAAAATATGCTGATAATATATACATACAACCTTTTTCCCAACCAGATTCCCAAGATCCACAATCTTATTACCTGTTTTTGAGCAGTGCACTGAAGGTCATTTTACCCAGTCTCAGATAATTTGGCAGCAAGTTTGACCAATTCCAGTTCCATTTTGTGATAGCTGACTGTTGATAAATGAGAAGACACTATTGTTAGTTATTAATCAGAGTTAATATGATCAGTAAATTAAAGCTCCAGCTGTGATAGACTAACTAAGAAGGAGGGGGGTCCAGAACAAGGACTTAGACAGATAACATCAATCATGTCCACAGAAGAAGATTTTATCCCAATAAGACAACAATTAATTTATAAATCCATTTGGGGATGTAGTCATTATTTATAAAAATATAAATCAATTTCTTGAGTCGTTATTCTTCCAAATGTTAATGGCATTTGCCTAAAAAAGTTTCTCTGAAAAACAAAATAAAATAATTGCTAAGATTTTCATACAACAATTTCTTTATCACCTGGAAGTTTGATTTTAAAACAAAAAACTTAGAAGCATTGAGTTATATTAATGTTATCTATTTTGGTTAACAAATGCATTAAGGGGCGATTATAAGGACCTGTAAATATAAATAACATAAATGATCCTCTATTCTCATTTAATAGATAATTTCACAAGCAAGGAGAAAAATTATTGTGAAAAATAATCCCATAATTCAGAACTCAATAAAACATGCCATTTATTTAAATGAAGTAAGGATAATTTAACAGCTACAATGATTATTTATGGTTTGGAGCATTCTAATGTGCAACACAGGAAAGCAGCCAATACACTCAAACTTATACAATCTATTTGGTTTTAAAGTATTGTAGATGCTTATGCTCCTTAAAATTAAATAGTTTTGATAATAAGAGTATAGACAGATGTTTAAAATCTAAGAACTATCCCCTGTCACCTACTGATTAATCGAGCACTACAATCCTGTCATACAGCAAGAGAATTCTGCCCTGGGTTGTCAGCATTTGAAGGTCTTATTCTACTACAGTATTGATGAATGTAGACTAGAGCTGTAACAGGCATGGGAAAAATATTATCTGCATCCCAAATTAGGCCATTGTTTTAATTCTTATTTTCATCAAAACTCTAGGTCAAGCAATCCTTCTCTTCTGCCCTGTTAGTTCAAATTTTCTGTCAAGAGCCTTCTGGAAAAAGCCACCAAAAGAATGAACAAAGCAAAAGCAACTTTACATTTCAAGTACTATGGCATAAAGATGGTCTTTTTAAATATAACTATTGAAACATGCAGCTTAAACAATGCCATAATCTACATTGAAAAAGTATGTGGTGTTTATCACAATGATTTTATTCCAAATAATCTGACTTTGAGATCATTAGCAAATCCATTATAAATTTAGGAGTGTGTTCAGGGTGATATAAAGCAAATTTACCTCATGCCAGTTAAAGTAGAAACTCAGTGCTCTGTTTATAAACGATTTTAAAGCACACTATTTGCTAATTTACCTGATATATTATAAAGATTGCAAGGTATTTTGTGAGTGTGTGTATTGGGGGTGGGAGGACAGCGAATCAGGAGAGGAGAAGAATGTTACAAAATGCTTGGATCCTTGGAACTTCTATAGGCGTATCCTGACAGATGTTTCCTCTGCCCAAGGAAAACTAACCCGGTTAAAGGTTAAGTTTCACACACCAAACCAATGAATCAGTTTGACAAATAAAAAGAAGGCAAAATAACTTTTCAAAGTGAATTTGTGCAGAACATGTAAATCAAATAAGGTGTTTTGCTTCTCAGCAAAAAGTTTATGGGTAAATATTCAAAGGCAAGGCATTTTTTTTCTTCCTTGTGTAAAGGATGTGTAAATTAAATTTACCATTTTATGTCCACATACCTGATCTAGCATGTTTTCACTAAACACCTTATACACATGGAAAGGGTTAAAGGCAGAAGGCTGATCTCTCACACTCTCCAAGGTTGTCTTTAAAGGCTGGATGGGTAATAGCTTCTCCTCTGAACCATTCATTGAAAACAGTTGTTCTTTTAAATATTCCTTCAAGGGAAAAAGAAAAAAAAAATTACACATAGTGATGGTGATGAGCACATATCTCTTTAAAAATAAACTGATTAATATCCAAATATACCCTTTCAACACATTTCCTAGGTTCCAGTGTATTAGTTGCCTCAGGACAGAATATGTTTTCAGAAGATACATAGCAGAGTACCAATTAGCGTTGCAATAAACCCATCAAAAATAGGTTCAACTAATATATTAGAAGACCATTTAACAAACTCTTATGGAATGGATGTATGCTCGATATATCAGAATCTTTTCAACAGGCATTGTCTTTTCATTGGTTCATATGTTAACATGCCTGGTTACCAAAATGTTTTTTAACTCAGGTGCCTGTTTACTCACAACACAAGATTGCTCATCCATTCATTTGGTGTAGTCGCCACCAGTAGGTGGTGGTGGTGTTGTTATATGCCGTCGAATCGGACCTGACTCATAGCGACCCCTACTTGGGTTTCTGAGGCAGTGTCACTACGGAAGTAGATTGCCCAACCTTCCTTCCGAGGAGTGGCTGGTGGATTTGAACCACCAGTCTCCTGGTTAGCAGTCAAGTGCCTTAGGCACTATGCCACCAGAGCTCTACCAGTAGGTAGCAGAGCACTATTGGGTGCTGTCAAGTCAATTTGGACTCATAATGACCCCCTGTGACAGATTAGAACTGCTCCATAGGGTTTTCTTGGTTGCAGTCTTTATGGAACCATATCATCTGGTCTTTGTCCCGCAGAGCTACAGGGTGGTTTTGAACCAACAATCTTTTGATTAGCAGCTGAGTTTTTAACCATTGCACCATTACAATTTTACTAAGCAGTCTCATTCTCTGAAGGATCAGTTATAATGGAAGTTCTTTAACCCTATTTCCATGCTGTGCACTGAAAAATATCAAGTTCAATAGAAGCTCAGAATATGTATTTGTAATCCCTTAACTATGGAGCTCTGGTAGCAAAGTACCTAAGGCATCTGACTGCTAATCAGAATGTTGGTAGTTCATACCCCCATCTGCTCCATGGAAGGAAGATGGGGCAATCGACTTCTGTAAAGATTTACTGTCTCAGAAACCTAATGGGGGTCACTATGAGTTGGAATTGACTCAATAGCAGTGAGTTTGGGTCTTTTGTTTGTTTAATTCCCTAACTGCCAGTGATAGCCTGGGCAAAATATACCTCATTTTCCAAGTAAATTGGATGAACAATCAAAATCTATTTCTTGGGACTCTTTCTGGAAGATAACAAATTAAGATTACAAAAAAATCACCCATAGTTATCAAATGCTTATTATTCATAAGTCAGTCACTTAAAAAATAATTTTTTTTCCTGATTGTTGGTAAGTCACAGTATATTTTTTAAAGCAAAGTTGGGGTTAAGGTTAAAGTCAGAATGTTAGAGCTGAATAGAACTTCAGGGTCACCTAGAAAACCCTTGCTACTCAAATATGGTCCATAGAATAGCAAAATCAGCATCACATGGGAGCTTGGTAGAAAAGCAGTATCTCAAGCTCTAGTGAATCAGAATTTGCCTTTCAGCAAGGTTTCCTAGGAGATTAGTAGGCACATTAAATTTGAGTACCTCTAGCCCAACACCAGGAAGAAAAGCCTGGCAATCTACTTCCAAAACTCAACCAATGGAAAACCTATGGATCATAATAGTCTGATCCCATTGTGCATGGGACTGTCATAAATCAGGACCAACTCAATGGCAGCTAACAAATCCAAAACCACACTCAATGGTTGGCTCTGAAAGGTCTGTGGTTATCCAAGGGGGAGTGGGAGAGTCAGAGTGAGAAGCCACTGACTGGTATGGTTCACTGCACTTTTCCCTATGTCTCTAACTTTATGAGTAGAGAATGTACACCACACTCATTGTGGAAGGCACATTTCAAGTCCTGAAGCCCACCAAATCTGAAGAAATCATTACTTAACAATGATGATAGTAATTTCTTAAATTTGCTGATTGCCAACCATATCTCTTTAGAAAGATTAATTCCGTTGTGCCTATAGTATGCTACTAAACACATACAGGACCGCTTACTAAATATTATTAGAAATGAGGAAGCAATTAGAAAATAATGTTATACTTAGAATTAGATATTGAACAAGAACTAAATTTTTCACCATCATGACTAATCCGAGTAAAATTTCAAAAAGAAGTAAACTACTCGACATGCATTGGCAAAATACATTGTCTCGGCTAATATAACTTTCCCCTCTTGTTGGTGTGTGCCATTGACTCAATACAGCTCACAGTGAATCCACGTAACAGAGTAGAACTTCCCCACAGGGTTTTCTTGGTTGTAATGTTCACACATATACAAGAACTGTTATTAAATATTATTAGATAGTGATAAAGCCATCAGAAAAGTATTTTGTGCCTAGAATTACATATTGAATAATAAGAATTTTTTTTTACCATCATGATTTGCTGATGTGGGAAGACTGAAAATAAGAAAAAACAGCTGCAAGTACCCATTAATAAATGGAATGTGGAATGTATGAATTACGAATCTAGGAAAATTGGATGTTGTCAAAAATGAAATGGAATGCATAAAGATCGATATCCCAGGCATTACTGAACTGAAATGGCCTGGTATTGGCTATTTTGAATCAGAAAATCATATTGTCTATTATGCTGGGAATGGCAAATTGAAGAGGAATGGTACTGCATTCATCATCAAAAAGAACATTTCAAGATCCATCCTGAAGTACAATGCTGTCAGTGATTGGATATCCATACGTATACAAGGAAGACCAGTTAATACCATTATTATTCAAATTTACACATCAAACACTAAAGCCAAAGATGAAGAAATTGAAGATTTCCACCAACATCTGCAGTCTGAAATTTATCAAACATGCAATCAAGATGCATTGATAATTACTGATGATTGGAATGTCAAAAATGGAAATTAAGAAGGATCAACAGTTAGAAAATATGGCCTTAGTGATAGAAATGATGTTGGAGAAATAATTTTATAAGACAAATGAACTATTCATTGCAAATACTTTTTTAAAACAACATAAATGGTGACTCTATAGGTGGACCTTATCAGATGGAATACACAGGAATCAAATTGATGACATCTGTGCAAAGAGATGACGGAGAAGCTCAATTTCATTAGTCAGAACAAGACCAGTGGCTGACTGTGGAACCGACCATCAATTGCTCATATGCAAGTTCAAGTTGAAGAGAAAGAAAATTAGAACAAGTCCATGAGAGCCAAAATACAACTTTGAGTTTAACCCACCTGAATTTAGAGACCCTCTGAAAGGAGATTTGACCCACTGAACACTAATGACCAAAGACCAGAAGTGTTGTGGAATGATACAAAGGACACTGTATACGAAGAACGCAAAATGTCATTAAAAAGAGAGGAAAGAAAGAAAAGACCAAAGTGGGTGTCAGAAGATACTCTGAAACTTGATCTAAAACATAAAACTAAACTGAACAGAAGAAATGACAGAGTAATAGAGCTGAACAGAAGTTTTCAAAGGGTAGCCTGAGAAGACAAAGTAAAGTATTATAAGGAAATGTGCAAAGATCTGGAGTTAGAAAACCAAAATGGGAGAAAATGCTCAGTATTTCTGAAGCTGAACAAACTAAAGAAAGCAATCAAGCCTCAAATTACAATATTGAAGGTTTCTATGGGCAAAATAGTGAACAACACAGGGAGCACCAAAAGAAGGTAGAAAGAATATACAAAATCATTGTATCAAAAATAATTGATAGCTGTTCAACCATTTCAGGAAGTAGTATATGATCAAGAACCCATAGTACTGAAGGAAGAAGTCCAAGGTGCACTGAAGGCACTGTCAAACAAAAAACCCACTGCCATCAAGTTTATTCCAACTCGTAGGAACCCTATAAGACAAAGTAGAACTGCTCCATAGACAGATTTACAAGACTATAAATCTTCAGGGAAGCAGACTCCCTCATCTTTCTCCCATGGAATGGTTCAAACTGCCAACCTTTTGGTTAGTAGCAGACTGCTTTAACCACTACAACACCAGAACTCCTTGGTGAAAAACAAGGCTCCAGGCAGTGATGAAAAGTTTCAACAAATGGATACAGCACTAGAGGTGCTCACTCATCTGTGCTAAGAAATAGGGAAGACAGTGAGCTGGCCAACTGATTGAAAGAGATCCATATTTGTGGCCATTCCAAAGAAAGGTGATCGAACAGAATGCAGAAATTATTGAACAATATCACTAATATCGCACACAAGTAAAATTTTCCTGAAGATAAGCACACAGAGGGACTTGCCAGAAATTCAACCTGTATTTAGAAGAGGATGTAAAATGAGGGATATCATTGCTGTCATCAAATGGTTCTTGGATAAAAGCAGAGGACACCAGAAAGATGTTTACCCGTGTTTTATTGAATATGCAAAGGCATTCAACTATTTGGATCATAACAAATTATGGAAAACATTGTGGAGAAAGGGAATTCCAGAACACTTAAATGTGCTCACGTAGGACCTGTACATAGACCAAGAAGAAGTAGTTCAACCAGAACAAGCCATAATGCATGGAAAAAATCAGGAAAGGTGTACATCACAGTTATATCCTTTCACCATATTTATTCAATTTGTATGCTAAGCAAATAAACCAAGAAGCTGGACAATATGAGGAAGAATGAGACATTCAGACTGGAGAAAGACTTCTTAACAACCTGTGTTATGCAGATAACACAACCTTGCTTTCTGAAAGTGAAGAAGACTTAAAGTACTTATTGAAGAAGATCAAAGATTACAGTCTTCTCTATGGATTACATATCAACATAAAGAAAAGAAAAATCTTCACAAGTGGACCAATCAACAGTATCATTATAAACTAAGAAACGTTTGAAGTCAGGGATTTCATTTTATTTGAATCCACAATCAACATTCATGGAAGAAGCAATCGAGAAATTAAACAATGTATCGCATTGTGCATATCTGCCACAAAAGACCTCATTAAGGTGTTAAAGAGTGAAGCTGTCACTTTAAGG